AATGTTTCGCCGTAAGTTTTGCCGTTCTCCGCACCAAGTTACGAACTCATCGAAGAGACAAGTGAAGATGACAAACGTTCTCCCGAAGACGGTTACACTGTCACTCCTCTTTCTGTCATTGTCTATCTATCTACTCTTTACACACTTATCCCACTGCCGCCCTATCACAACTTCTCATTTGTTTACATTCCACCCGGCAAAATGTGTGTCCTTTTGTGGCAAATTTAGAGTGGCCTCATCACACTTGCTATTCGCCACGACTCCCTCTCCTTTAATCGGCTGATCCGACTAGGACCACCAATCCGGATCGCCTCATTGTCGCGTAGATCCGTTCCTTCTCTTTCTAGTTGACCCATTTCACTCGGTTCCAGTCCCAGAGTGCATTTCACTCCAGGCGCTATTTCTCAACGCCCTAGAAGCCGGTACACTGCAGCCTCACTAAGCAGAGCGTCTATGAATCTAAAGGAGACTGCGACCATACCAGAGGCCACAACATCCTGATCTTCATATCTTTCATTAGTTATATGCTCAGTAAGCAGTTTCAAAACCTACAAACGCGGTCACTGGGACTGGGCTCAATGCTCTTGTGGAGAAAATTATGTTCACAGTACGGTTTTCATTAATTCTAACCGCTTCGACAGACCATGAACTATGAAGTCTTGACTGTGTGTGAATAGTAAATGGTGTGCAACTCGTCTGCACCATAGAAAACTGTATCGTCTCGATAAAATTACAAAATTAATTGCAAATGATGCTGTTAATTGTTATTACTTTTTCGTCCTGCATCATAACCACGAGACCATTTTTCCTGCCCCCTCCAGCCCATCACCACCGCCGAGGTTGTTCCTCTTCCGACGACCTGTCCGAGGCCTGAGCTCAGCTGCCATTGCGACGCCGGTCTCGGCTTCTGGCCCGCCCACGAGGCGCATCGCTCTTGTCCGCTGGGCGTGACTCGACTCACGGACGCCTGCAACTGCTGCTACTATTGCGCTCGTCAAGAGGGCGAAGCGTGCAGTTCGAGTCTGCACTGCGAGCCCCGGGTCCCGGGCCGGCCAGTCGAGAGCGACTCTTCCTTGGCGCGTTCGAACGCACAACGGACGCTCCGTCGGACCAACGTGGTCGGCCTTCTCGTCTGCTACTACGACCCCGGCCGAGGCGAATTGGGCGTCCGAAGACGGCCTCGCCTCGGTTCGTCGGATCGGACCGAGGCGTCGGCAGATGAGCAGTCGTTGGAGGCGGACTCGGAGGCCGCAACTCGCGGAGCCCGATGGAGACAGACCAGGCAGTTGGTGTCAAGACCGACGCATCCAAACGCCATGGGCACTTGTTGGAGTGAGTAAAAATGTTGAATTCAGGCCCCGGAATCGGGTGATGCCAACTCAGAATGACACATGAGCTGGGTCCATCCTATTTCGTGTAAGATGATGAAGCGCTGGCAGTTGATTTCCACCACAATGCCATCAGTAGACATGACGTCTCCATCAACTTTTACATGCTCTTTCTATCCAAAAACGGATTCTCATCCAGGCTGGGGCGGGCTGCCGTTTTGACCTCACCGAGGTCGCATCAGCACCTCCAGCGGGACTCGAACTATGACAGCGCAACGTATAATCTCGACGCGTTGATCACTACAACACACTGCCACGAGTGCCTTTAGGGGAGATGTGCATTTTAACGAAGGTTAGGCATTTTTCACCATCACATTCTGATTTGCCACAGTAATCGACACCATTACTTATATCAACTTGTGAGTAGATTTTTGCGGCAGCTTAGTGGTTAACGTGTCGAGATTATACGCTACACTGGCATTATTAGAGTCCACCCCAGTCTAGATGAGAACACCTTTTGGCAAGAAAGGCAATGTATAATTTAATTATATTTGTGTGAATAGTAAATGGTCTGCAACTCATCTGCACCATAGAAAACTGTATCGTTTGATGAAATTACAAAATTAATTGCAAATGATGCTGATAATTGTTATTACTTTTTCATCCTGCATCATAACCACAAGAC